GTGGTAGGATTACCGCGCACTACACGCAAGTTCGACTCAATTTGGGTAATCGTGGATCGACTCACGAAATCAACGAACTTCGTGCCAGTCAAATCTACTGACACAGTGGAATAATATGCTCAATTGTATATCAAAAAAAATATAGTCAAGTTGCATGGAACTCCAGTCTCAATCATTTCAGATCGAGTGGCTCAATTCATGGCAAACGTTTGGAAGAAATTTCAGCAAAGTTTGGGTACTCAAATAAATCTTAGTACAGCCTTTCATCCACAAACTGATGGGCAGGAAGAGCGGATCATTCAGACGCTTGAGGATATGTTGCGTGCTTGTGTTCTTGATTTCAAAGGTAGCTGGGATGATCATTTACCCCTCATAGAGTTTGGTTATAACAATAGCTTCCATGCTAGTATTCAGATGGCACCATTTGAGGCGTTGTATGGTAGGAGAAGTAGATCTCCCATTGGTGGTTCGAGGATGGGGGAAGATGAATTGATAGGACCAGACCTTATTCATCAAGCTATGGAGAAGGTTAAGATTATTAAGGAGTGGTTGAAAACTGCTCAGAACCGTCAAAAGTCCTATTCGGATGTTCGTCGAAGAGATTTGGAATTCAAGGAAGACGATGGAGTATTCTTGAAGGTTTCCCCCATGAAGGGTATCATGCGCTTTGGAAATAAAGGGAAGTTAAGTTTGAGATATGTCGGACCGTATAGAATCATTCAAAGGATTGGTCAGGTGGCATACGAGCTCGAGTTACCATCTGAATTGTCATTGGTACACCCAGTCTTCCATGTGTCTATGTTGAAGAAGGTAGTGGGAGATCTGTCCACTATTGTGCCAGTTGAAACTATTGAGGTTAATTAAGAATTATCGTACCAAGAAATTCAAGTTGCCATCCTTGATAAGCAAGTCCGAAAGTTGAGAAATAAAGAAACTGCCTCCGTGAAAGTGTTATGGCGAAAACAACAAATTGAGGAAGCCACTTGGGAAGCTGAGGAAGAAATGAAAAAGAAGTACCCTCGTTTGTTTAAATAGCAATGAAATAGTTCTATGAAGTTGTTTCATATAAATTTTGTATTGATTGCTCAGCTAATGTAAAGGAATTCCTTTCTAAATATATGTTCATTGTGGGGCTGCGTTTGGTGTTATTTTATGTTCTATTGCGTCATTTGATCAAATATATGTTGTTGAGGTGTGTTTCTGGGATTCTTTGACAGGTGGATAGGCCGGGTTACAAGGGAAACTCTGCCGAAATTTCTGAAAAATTTGGGGGATTGTCAAAATTTGGAAGTTAAAGATGCGTGAGAAAAGAGATAATTTAAGCTAAGTATTTGCGGATTTACTCCACTTATCATTCGAGGACGAATGATCCTAAGCGGGGGAGAATGTATAGCCCCGGAAAATTTTGCTAAGTAATTTAAGATTTCGGGGTGCCAAGGTAGGCTAATTATTTTACTTTGTGTGAAAACAAGGATTAATGATATAATGGATATCAATTGGATATGGTAATAAGTGTATAAGTCATATTATAAGTGACTTGGGGTCTGAGGAGAGGCCTAAGTCTAAGCCATGTTGGGAATTACATGATAGACTAAAAATTTCAAATGAGTACGAACAAGACCTCACTTTGGACGAGAATATATACATATATATGAAGTTGTGTGAAGAACAACCTATAAAATTAAAGATCTTTGAGTTTAGTTTCTAATGCATCAAACCGTTCGTCATTTGGAGGTGTACACAGAAAGTTATGACCATTTTACTGGACATGTGTCATATGCGCGCCCAGGTGCGCAGCCGCGCATATTGGGAAGTATTCTGCCTCGTGAGCGCGGCCTTAGCGCGGGCGCACTAGTAGCAGACCTCTAAATACACCTAAGGACGGGAAAAGAGAGGATTTAAGTCATTTTTCAAGACTAGGGCATCCTCTACATCACCCATTCCGTCAAGGCTCCAATTACACACCTAAGGTGAGTTTTTAAGTGTGTTTTTATGATAATTTCACTTCTCAATCACTAGTTACAATATGGTTTTGATTGGATTTCATAGGATTTCTTCAAAAATCTCAAGAACACTCCAAAAGTTGTATTTCAAGATTTGGTCTACAAGAGGTAATCTTTCACCCTTAAACTTACATATATGGAGTTATTATGGGAATATGAGTATGAATTAAGTGTTAGAACTCTTGATGTGGTGATTGGAAGCCATAAGTTCCCAATATAAATACATAATTATTGTAGATATTGAAAGGGTGATTATTTGATAGGATTTGTTGGTTGGGTGTGAATGGATGGTCATACATATGTTGTTGGAAGTTATAAATTGGTTAGGAATGATGGTGGAATAAATTGTTGGTTAATGATAATAGTTGGATGAACTAATACTATGGTTATGATATGAAAAGATTTATACCTACAAGGTGTTTGATAATATGCCTAAATGGCATAAGTTATGGAATTTCTTACTAATATTGGTCCTATTGAATGTTGTATTGTAGATTGAAGTTGCTTAAGTGTATTGGATCATTGTAGTATCATTAAGGGGCGAATTTGAGGTATGTATGGCTAAAACCCCGTCTTTTAGAAATTGAGCTCCGTTGGTGTTTATGCAAATACGGTAAGATTAAAGTTGAATTGTTGTATTCATCGTTGTTTCACATGAATTTGGGGTTGTAACCTTATATGCGCGAAAGATGTGTCTTAATATGATCAGTGTGTTATTCTTGATAACTTGAAAAGGTTCAAGGAATATGAATCATGTATTGAAATGCTTAGACCTTAAATTGAGATTGAAGTTGCACTTGTTGTGCCATCTATGAAGTCTTATCTATGCTTACAATTTAAATTGCTCATGTGTGCACCTACTGTCCTAAAAGGCAAAGCTAATATTAAATTGGGAATGATGTAAAATGCGGCCTAATGCCAAGAATGATGTGATAAAGTTGTGGCCCCAAGTGCCTATTAAATGATATATGTGAAACGAATCGATTAAACAACGCCTTGGTAAGGCGGCCTAGCCCATCGGGCCGAGATCGGACTCCGCTCAAGATAGCGGTGGTATTGTGAATAAATTCCGGAAAAAAGGAAAATGAGATTGTGATTGAAGTGTATGTCTCAAATGAGGCAACCTAGCCGATCGGGTCGAGATCGGACTCCGCTCAAGAAAGCAGTGGTATTGTGAATGATGATGAACAGTATTGAAAGTCCCAGACTAAAGCTATGGAAATTATGTTAAAACTTTGTGAACCTCTTATATTGTTGACGTGGGGCTTATTTGAAGCTTTGTGTTTCTAATGATTTCTTTGTACTCTTGTATGGTTGTTCTTTCTAACTGGATGGTGTTTAGTTATACATACTAGTGCTATTCGATGGCACTAACGTCCCTTTTGCAGGGGGCGCTACGTCTTTAAATGGATGTAAGTGTTTCCATAGCAGGCAGTGTTGGTCGCAGCTAGTGACGCACCTTCCTTTTAGCTATCTTGGTGAGCCCATTTCTCCTTCAAGGGGTTATATTGCACATCTTTTGTTGTGGACTTTCACTTTTGAGGTATAGCCGGAGCCTTGTTGCCGGCATTTCCGTATTATTCTTCAGTTGTATTTAGAGGCTCCGTAGACAGGTTGTGGGTGGAGTTTGATAATGAGAAATTGAATTAGAAATATTGATATTTGGCAAAGATGGATGAAACTTGTAATATTTTTTTTAATTATGAATGAAGTTGCTAATGAAAATAAGGAAGTTATTAATGATATATTTTCAGTATTTGATGAATGGAGTTCATCTCCTCCTTATTCATGAGTTGGTTTGGGTAGAATGAAACCTAACAGGCTTGCTCAGTCGGGTTTACTCGGTTGAGCGCCGGTCGCACTCCTCGATATTTGGGGCGTGACAGTAAGTATGTGGCTGTACACTTTTAAGTTGTGGTTGTCACCGTCTAGTACTGTATAGTCGTTGTATTTTTTCATCTAGTATTGTTGATGGAAGTGTGTATCACTATATATCATTGTATTTCATGTCGCTCTGTTTATTGATGGAAAAGTTTATATCCTTGTCATAGGTACTGCCTAGTATGCATCAACAACAATTGTAATTGGTATTTTAAGTCTTCGAGCCTGAAAAAAGCAAACGTTTTCAAGGACAGAAATTTCAGCAAAGTGCACTCATGCCCCCTGAAAGACAGATCTTACGCACAACGTCAAGCTACTGCAAAACTCATAGGCAGTCTTCTGATAGAAAAGTATAAAGACCCAAAAATAATATACACTCCTAATGACATAATTGGAGACATGAACAAGCAGTATGATCTTCAGATGACATATATGCAATCATGGAGATCGAAAGAATATGCAATTCAAGTACTGAGAGGGAACCTGAGCGAATCATATGAAAAGTTGCCAAGCTACTTTTATATACTGGTTCTTACAAATCCTATATCGGTGGTAAGTTTGAAAAAAACAGAGGAAGACTTGTTCATGTATGCTTTCGTTGCACTATATCCGTCTATAAAAGGATGGCAGTATTGCAAACCGGTTGTTGTTGTAGATGGAACCTTTCTTAAATCGGCATATAGAGGAACATTATTGATAGCATCAACACAAGATCCAGCATGTAATATCCTATCACTCGCATATGCCATAGTAGATTCAGAGAATAATGCTTCCTGGGAGTGGTTTTTTGCGAGATTCAAGGATGCATTTGGGGAAAGGGAGGGAATGTGCATAGTCTCGACAGGCATGAAGGCATTGAAAATGCAGCGGCAACATTGTATCGACAAGTACCTCATTGTGTCTGCATATGGCATCTATGGAATAATGTAAAAAAAATTTACAAAAAAAACATTTGCTGCTCAAAGACATATTCTTTGATATGGACAAAGCATACACAGTTGAGAAGTTTGATTACCACATGGCAGAGGTAGAGAAAATTGATAAGAGGGTCAAAGATTACTTAATGAATGTTGGGTATGGAAGATGGTCCATAGCATATTCCACAGAACATTGACAATGACTTCAAACATTGCGGAGTCGATCAATGCAGCGCTCAAGGCTGCTAGGGAACTCCCAGTACTGCCTTTTCCTAGACTACATAAGGCAATTGATCGGACGATGGAATATTACAAACCTAAAGAATGCAGTAGAGTCATTCACTGATCTTGGAAAAAAATATGATACAATGCTGATGGACAATCTTGAATTGTCACATCAAATGAAGGTATGACTGGAATCTGTAGATACTTGTTCATAGAATATGTAATCATGCCTAATTCACGGATCTGTTATATCTTGAACCATTTGTGTGATTCTGTTAAACTAGTGCCCACCTGCACAAAAGCAAAGGCTTTCAATTTAATGTAGCATTTACGCCTACCCCACTCCTGAAATATTGGTTGGTTTGACATGATATTAAGCTATTTTGAATCTTGTAGGCTCTCTAGTATATGTATTTTGAGGGCATCTACTTTGTCACCACTAATGATAGTTGATAAATTTTGCAGGTGACCCCTTCGATGAGTTACTTATATTCAGTACTTGACAAGGGTAAGCAGAGAATAGTGTTCCTAAAAGATCGAACTTGTAGCTATAGAAGGTTTAAGTTGGATGAGCTGCCATGTGCACATGCTTGGGCAGTATTAAAATACAAATACATTAATCACATTGAGTATTGCTCGGTGTACTACACCAGGAAGTACCTATTGAAGACATATGAAATTCCAATTTATCCAGTTCCTGATGAAAGCACATGGGAAATTCTTGCAGAAGTTCTAAATGAAAAAGTCTTGCCACCAGACGTGACTAAAACAATAGGAAGGCCAAGGAAGGGGAGGTGCAAGCCAATATCTGAAAGGGAACAAAAAATTGTCGATTTCATGTGGACAGTGTGGAGAAGAAGGTCAGAACAGGAAAACTTGTAGAAATAATCCAAAGAGAGGATGAAATATGTCAAATTTAGAACTACTTGTTATTTACTTTACTGAATATCATAGAGATGTAGAAGAATGAAATATATCAAGAACTATATCATTGTAGAATGTCATTTGAATTTTAGATATAAATAAATATTTGACCTATCATTTAAAATCGTGTTGCAAGTTTATATTATACATCTGTTTGATTAAAAAGAAGTTGTATCAGCTATGTATCATATTTGTATCATATATGTATCACTTGTGCATCACATTTGTATCATCTATGTATCGCTTGTGTATCGCCTATGTATCTCTGTGCATAGGCTCTTACTCATGCTTGTATTTGTGTAGTAACAAAGCTAACTAATGGAAAACAGTCGTAGCAGCTAGAAAACTATGCAAATAGTTTTAGAAATTTGCAAATAAGAGTGGTTTCATCAATACATATTTGAAACTGTGTATCATATGTGTATCATATTTGTATCATGCGTGTATCTGCAAGAGACAATATATCACAAACTACCGTATATTTTTCATATATGTAATTCACAACACAAAATCAAGGGAGAAAACACCAAAATAAACTAAATTGCAACAATCCAATATCGCACTGAAACTCATTAAACCTTGATAACAGAGCAAACATCTCATTTGCCATACAATTCTTAAAAGTATTCATAAAATTCAAACACAAACAAATCTGATCCGTCTTACAACAATGACAACATAACAAAACACAATACAAAAACAAAATTATAGAGTTCATCCGACAACAATGACAAAAGTAACTACTTCTTCTGCTTCCGCGACTTATTCTATCAACCAATAATCTTATCATCACTTTGCGCGTTCAGTTCCATCTTCTTTCTAGCATAATCCCACAAGAGAACACCAAATCTGTGCCTGTGTGCATAGGCATTGAATTTTTTAGGAGGCGTCTTGCCCTCAATGAAATACTCGGCAAATGATGCCGCAAATACACCGCAATCACTGGAAACAACAACTATCCAACTGCAGAATCTAAAAACAAGACAGATTGTGTTGAAAGAAATTCATATGCTTCGACTTGTTGAGGCAATCCTTCAACCAGTTTTACATCAAAGGGGGTAATCAAATCTTTTGATCTGTAGACACCAGTGCGCCAATTGATATCTTTTTTGTTTAAATAGAAATGCGTGTGCACGAAAAAATGAGGCAGCAACACAGAATACTTGGCCATGGTCTTATGAAATTTGGCTTGATAAGCAGCTCCAACGCGCATAGAGTCATACACATAAATGCACCATCCTTGAAGGACATCACAGCCATTATCCAATGCCATTGTTCTGCAACATTAATTGACATTAAGACATGCTCGACAGTGTGCCATGGAACATTGGCATCCAAGACAAACCCCTGAATATACTCTGCAATGACATATTTCGGAGTGCACATATCACTATCTCCATCTGTATCAATAAACGCCTGCAATAACTCATTAAGTTTCTCGTCGAAGTACCAACCTGTGGTGGTGAATGTTACAGGTAGGTCTTTGTCATACTTCCCCTTCTTCCTCAGATAATAGAACAAAACATCAATGTGCTAAAACAAAAACATAACAAATAACTAATCACTAAAGGCTCGTAAGCTTTAAGCAGCTACGGTTTTTCAAACCAAAATCACATAAAACAAAGAAAAATGAATGCTCACTGCTATCTCTTGTGCTAGGAAATAGCAATTAATAATCTGTTCTAACTTAAGAGGACTGAGTGTTCATGTGTACAATGGCTAAAAATTTAAAAAACAAATACTGCAAAAGTAAATTCTTACATACCGAGTCATCCAAGGGCTGACCATTATATGCCAAAGTGTAAAATCATTTTTTGTCTTCAACGTGAAATACACCAAGATCATAAGCAGGATTGAGTTCACTAACATGCTTCGGGTAAATTTCATTCTTGGTAACATATATACACAAAAGAGTATAGTGATTTGATATAAAATAATGCTATAGGTGACAATATATTAAAATATAAAACTGAAAAAAAAACTCAGAAGTTGGAAACATACTTCTTTCTTGACTTCCCTTCTTTGACCCACGCAGCAAATACATTCAACAAAGAGTCGTTAACGCCAGTTCCGATTTTGCTTTGAAAAGGATGCTTAATAGCATAAATTTGCTTTTTTCCTTTTGCTGCAACAACACCAGTACTGGAACCTGAATCAAATACAGTAATGAACGGAGACTGCACGGCCTTTGCAGGACATCTCTTTCTTTTTTCCATTTGCGGCGATACTTCAGGAAGTAATTCAGGATTGTATAGAACCATCTCCCCTGCAGCCTCATCAACACTTGCAGTCGCACAAACAGCACCAGTCCGAGATTCAGGAACCTTTTGTTTCTCAGATTCTTCCTCCGTTTCCCCTGCCGCCGCATCAACACTTGCAGTCGCACAAACAGCACCAGTCCAGGATTCAGGAACCTTTTATTTCTCAGATTCTTCCTCTGTCTCCCCGATCGCCGCATCTGCATTCTCTCCAATACCGCCAGCATGTGCTACATCTGGTGTGAAAGTTACTTTAGCAACAAACATGTCAACTTTCACACCAGAAGGTCCTTCCATAGCATTGACACCTAACCGATCTGCTACACCAAGCATAATGTTGTTACGATGATACTCACTAGTATCTCTATGAGAATGTGGAACATCTTTGCCTTCACTTCCACCGACCTATTTTTTTAAAAAAGAATCGAATTATCAAAAACAACAAAGAAAAGAAAAGGGAAAAGTGCAGAATGCACAACTAAACACACCTGACAACCATCCATTTCAACATCTTCATTACCGCCAAACTCCATATAGCTCACAAAATTATTATTGTTTTGACGACCACTGGTGTCTTCCTCTGGATGTGCACCATATTTGACTTCGCTTGCACCAAGCTATTTTTAAAAAAAAAGGATATAGTAAGTTAACTAAAAAATAAAAAGAAATGCACAATGGAAAAGAAACACATACCTTGGAATTTATTAACTCAAAGACCTCCTCGAATTTAGCAAAAACATATTCCATGAAGAAATTTAACTGCTTATGGAGCTACAAGATGAAACAAATAAGAAAGATAATAGACTTTGAATATACAATTTAAACAATACTTTCAAAAAAATATATAAAAAAGACCAATACATACTTGCTTCACATCAGCTTTCAACTTCTGCAACTCACGGTCATAATCAACAGGTTGGACACCTGGCGCGTTTTTTGGTGGGACAGGCTCCTTAATCTGTTTCGGGGATGGCGTGACAAAATATCGCTATCATCAATAGGAAGTTTTCCCCTGTTACGTGATGTCAAATCTTTCTGATACTCATCGGTAACTTCAACAGGCAAAGTAAATCTCCTTAGCTCTTCAATTGTCGGAGAAATATTTTTAAACTACAAAGGTAACCAAAAGTGATTCAGTCCTAGATGTATCAAAGATGTATAAAATTTGTATGTTTGATGTATCACAATGAATTATAGTGTATTATAAATGTATATCCCATCAAGATATAAAAGATGGTACCTTATTCCCTGTGCTGTTGAAGAAACCAATAGAGAAGTCCTCACGCGTTGGCCTGTCTGTCATTTTCCAATTCAATAGGCGTGGTGTATGATCTCCAACGCGAACAGCAAACTTTTGATCAACTACAGTGCAACATTCATAGAACCACACCTGTAGTGCAAGAGGAAATCCACCAATCCTATAAAACTCAGACTTTCCCCTCAACCTGTCCCTCACCGACTTCAATAAAGCTCGAAACGCAATCTTACCCCATGGAAATGACACATACTCACCACTCTCGACAAGATGGAAATCACGTTTACTTATAAATGTCTTCTGAGCCTGAGTGGACATTAGAAATGTGTTCATGAAATAAATGATTGCAATACTAATTGCGTCTTCATCAGATTGTCATTTCTTCTTCTCAAAACAATCAATAAGTTACTTCTTTGACACCACTTCAAAACCAGAAAAATAAGTATCCACCAACCTATTGGGTCCACTGAATTTACCCTCAACATGTTCATTACCACAATAGTTTAAACCACTTACAGTACCAAATTCTCGAAGAACAAAACGTAAAACACATTCGTCATTCAGTTTCACATAAAATTGATCTTATCTTGAACTAACTCCCTAAACATTAAAGAACGAATAAGTTGTGCCTGGATAGCAACTCGAGGTAAATCAAGGAAATAGCCAAAACAGCTTTCCCTAAACATCCGAAGCTGGACATCAGTCAACTTTGACTGTAAAACCGATACAATATCCACATTAGTGTATGATGACCAATGAGTAACAGGAAACGGCTCACCAACTGGAATATAGAGCTTCCAAGGCTACAAATACATGACACGAATTAAAAACAAACAAATACAAACTAAATCCAAATTTTAAAAGAAGAGTCAACAATAGAAAAAATTATAACTGAAATTGTACATACCTTACAAACTTTGTTAGGAATTTTAACTTTTTCTGCCTTCTGAACCTTGTTTTTTTTTGTTTGACACCCAAATGCACTTCTTCCTCCACGACACGTTTTCTCTTACCTTGATCAGCATCCATTATAACCCTCTTGCTCTTCTTTTTCTCAGATTGTCCAACAATATCCTTTCGAGATTCTAACATTTTAACACTGTCGGAACGATTTTTTCTTCGCATATTTTGTTCATCAATCGATTTCTCAACTAAAATCGGGGTTGAATGAGGAGATAAACTCATCGACCTAGTTTCTCTTCTCATGTTGCTCGATTTCTCAATTGAAACCGACTTTGAATAAGGTGATGAACTCATCAAACGAGTTTGTCTTCTCATATTGCTCTGTTTCACAATTGAAACTAGGTTCAATGACAAAATTAAACAAAAAGACAATATACGAACAAAAGGTTACAAAAATTTGTGAAGAAATTAATACAAAAACTCGACCAAAACTTACAAAATCAGTCGCAAAAGCCTAAAGAAAAGCAACATCGATTCTACAAAAACACATGCAATCAGAAAACTATACAAAATAAGAGGTTTTCTACTCCAAATTACCTGGAATCAGACGAAAATAACCGAAAATGTATCTTGTTTTGTCGTCAATTTCAGCAATTTTGTTTGAATTTAGGAAAAAATCACACACACACACACACACACACAGAGAGAGAGAGAGAGAGAGAGAGAGAGAGAGAGAGAGAGAGAGAGAATACTCTGTGTTGTATACGAAAAATAACGGATACAAAAAGTGACATTAATTGAAACTATTTAGGCCAAAAATGACATTTAGGCCTTTTTTAGTAGATATTTTGTTTTGGGCTATTTTTGTTAGGAAAGTTTGTAGAGTGACATAGCTAAGTAATTTCCCTTATTTAAAAGATAGAAGGATATATCGTTTCTTAATAACTAAATATTAAGGGGTTCGGTAGATTTTACTCTTTTTTAAACAATTTCTCTAGAAAGCATAAGCTCCAATTAAAACAACACGTCCTTGGACTCCAAAGTTGTAAAGCACTTAAAAAACTTTTATAATTTAGCACTTGTTATAAATAAAATTGTATTTAAGCTGAATGCCTGTGTTTTTGACAGATTTTAGAATTTGTTGCTTTATGGCTAAATTACCTTTTCTTATAAATATGGGGTTCTATGCTATTGTAAATCATTCCAAATTAATAAAAACTCTCTTGCTACTTTTCTTTGCAATACTGTTCTTTTTTTTATTGCTTTATTGCAGCACCATTAAACTAGTGGGCTTCTTTTTTTGCTTAAAGAAACAAAAAAGATCTCTAGCGGATTCATTAAATTTCATAACAAAATGATACTACTCCCTTCGATAAAATTGCACGGGGTGCCCTATTTGGTCGCCCGCATTTAACATATACCCATTTTCTTAAAAAGTTTTAATTTGTACCCACTTTTTAAACAACTTCAGCCCCCTTTCTCCTCCTCTTTCTCCTCCTCAAAGTTTTATCTTTTCTTTTTCCAGAAGTAAGGTTCATCGCTATCTGCTTCTTCTTATTTCTCCGGTGAGTCCTATAAGACACCCTCATCTGTAAAGGTTCTATCTTGGTTTTGCAACTTGAATCTTATGCACAATTCTGATGTGAAAATAGGACAAGAGAAATTAATTATTAATTTTATATTGTTGTTTGGTGAATTGGGTCTGGCGGAAATTGGAGATTTCAGTTGTCGATTGGATTGGTAATGTGTTGATGTTTCGGTTCCTGTTAATGTTGCTTTAAGTTACTTCGTGTGGGTACAACATGCCCCCTAGAGCTCTAGAGCTGAAGTTCGTCAGTTACAAACAAAAACTTCAGCTCTAGAGCTGAGGTTCGACAGTTACAAAACAAAAACTTCAGCTCTAGAGCTGAAGTTCGCCGGTCAAAAAATAAAAACTTCAGCTCTAGAGTTGAAGTTCGCCAGTTACAAAAACAAAACTTCAGCTCTAGAGTTGAAGTTCAGTTACAAAACAAAAACTTCAGCTCTAGAGCTGAAGTTCGCCAGTTACAAAACAAAAACTTCAGTTCTAGAGCTAAAGTTTGCCAGTTACAAAACAAAAACTTCAGCTCCAGAGCTGAAGTTCGCCAGTTACAAAACAAAAACTACAGCTCTGAAGCTGAAGTTCGCCAGTTACAAAAATAAAAACTTCAGCTCTAGAGCTGAAGTTCGCCAGTTACAAAAACAAAAAACTTCAGCTCTAGAGCTGAAGTTTGCCAGTTACAAAACAAAAACTTCAGCAAATAGAGAACAAAGCTTCAGCTACTATGCTTAAGTTCAACAATTACAAACAAAAACTTCAGCACACTTGGTTCAGCACACTTGTTACTTCAGTCCCGTCTACTAGAACGCTGAAGTTTTGCGTGATTGCCTTGCTACTTCAGCCCCGTATGCTGAAGTTACGCGAAAAAGTGGGTACGCTTGCAATTTTTTTTGCAAAGGCACAAGTTAAAACGTGACCAAAAAGCGGGTATAGATGCAAATGCCCCGCTCCCTTCGTCCGGTCAAGTTGATTACTTCCTATGTTTCAATTTATGTGAACCTGTTTGACTGGGCACAAAGTTTAAGAAAAAATAAGACTTTTGGAATTTGTGGTCCTAAACAAGTTAAAAATGTGTTCAGAGTTGGTTATACAAGCTTCTCATTAAGGGTAGAATTGGAAGTTCAAGCTAAATTATTTTCAAATTTAGAAAGGAATCATTCTTTTTGAACGAACCAAAAAGAAAATAGGTTCATATAAACTAGAACGGAGGAAGTAATATTTAAAGTTAAATTGAATCAGATTAATTTAATATTTAAAAATTAATATTTAAATACCTAAAAAATTATATAAAATATTATAAATTATAGTAAATGTTTTATGACAATATAATAAAAAATAAATTTTAAAAAACAAAAAGTGTCGCATAAATTACAATGAAGAACAATAGTACTCACTTCTTATAATGCAGCTTTATACAAACATTTGAATACACATCTAAACACTTTAAGGTAAGTGGAAGAAGCAATAAAAACCTTTACTCTCGTACTTTTTGGCCATAGTTGAAAGATGAAAGATCCGTAGTGTTCCTCTCCTCAATTGTCACAGGGAAACCACCTTTCATTTTCGCAGTGAGGTAAGACACAAAGACCGGCTCAACACCTTTTTCTGCCACCGGAACCACCTTGAACCGCCGTAAAACACCAGCCACCACCCTCTTCATTTGCAGAAATGCCATTTCTTTTCCTAAACAAATTCTGGGTCCCGCCTGAAAAACAGGATAAGTATAGGCGTCCCTAGCCATAAAAGTCCAATTACCTGACACTTCATCCTTATCTAACCACCTCTCTGGCCTAAACTCTGCCCAATCTTTTCCCCATAATTTCTCCACTCTCCCCATTGCATACGGATGATAACTTACTCTAGTCCCTTTTTTCACAAAAGTACCATCTGGCAATATATTATCCTCTGTAGCAGCTTTAGTATCTATGGGAACTGGTGGGTAAAATCTCATGCTTTCACAAAGTGAAGCATGTGTGTAAATCATGTCCTTTACTTCATCATACACTGGACTTTCGGATTTTGCTTTAATCTCTTTTAAGATTTGGTTTTCTGTTTCTGGGCATTCAGAAATTAACCAGAAAAACCATGTTAAAGCAGCAGATGTTGTGTCACGACCAGCCAAAATGAAACTTATAACAATATCTGTAACAAAGTCCTCATCCGAATGGCCAGTGCTTAAAAATCTTGATAATAAATCCACTGATTCGAGCGATGATTTTTCTTTGAGTTCTTTTTGTTTTTCTTTCACGAGTTCTTTTGCAAATTGACGAACATCATCCACAGCTACCCTGATTTTTTTCTCAGATCCAATGTTGAGCTTTCGTTTTATTTTCCATAGAAAAGGAAAAATAGCATTAAATCGTTCACTACTTAGCTTAACAGCTTCTTCAAAAGCAACAGCAAATTTTGCTTGAGGAAGAGATGGTAATAAATAAGCAGGATCATACCCAAAAGCAATTTTACAAATATTATCAAAAGCAAACCTTTGTAAAATGTCTTGAAAATCAAGAACGGTTTTTTCAACAGCAGCAGTAGCAAGAATTGGAATTAGCCTTTCGTTGAGTTCTGTATCAACAACAGTTTCAACGAATTTGCGTAGAGATTTTGTGTTAAACTCATGGCTTGAAACTTGTCTTTGGTACTTCCAAATGTCACCGTCCACATTAAATATACCATCACCAAGAAAATCAGCCATAGTTGTTTTAAAAACATTACCTTTTTGGTAAATGTGAAATTGGGTTTTGAGTATGTGTTGGACATTGGCGGGGTTAGCTGTGAAAATTTGGCGAAAACCAAAAGGACGATTGAGAGTGAAAGTTAAGTTGGAAGTGTTTTGAATAACATCAGAAGTCCATTGAATTCGACGTTCTTTGTTTGTTAGGATTGAGAAATAGGAACCAATGATTGGATATGATTTTGGGATCTTGCTGGTGGATTTATTGGATGATAAAAGATTTGTTAAAGTGGTTTTGATGAAGAAGAGGAAGAGGAAAGGAATGAGGCAAAAGAGTAAAGAGGTTGAAAGCTCCCAGTCTATCATAATTTAGGTATATCTTTTTGCGGTTTTAATTTAGTTTATGAGTACAAGGGTGAAGATGTGTATGAATACCCAGAGCTATTTATAGAACTTCGGACTCATTAACTTTTATTTTTTGGACATTACAATAGATATTCCCACGTATAAGCATTATAGGCAGCTTTTCTTTCTCAATTGATACTTATAACTATTGAAAATTTTAATTTGTACCCCTCCCGTCCCAATTTATCCGGTATTTTCGAATTATTCTTTGATAGTAATCTTCTTATATGTCTTTTAATTATTATGAATTATTGATTAGTATCATTTTGTTTCAATTTATGTGAACCTATTTTCTTTTTGGTTCTTGCCAAAAAAAATGATTCCTTTTCATATTTGAAAATAATTGCCAAAATGTTGAATTTTGCATTAAAATACATTATCTTCGGAGACAAAGGATAGAAATAGAGTTATATCATGCTGGAGTACCATGAACCCACTATCCTTTCAAAATTATAGGTTCAAAATCATTTAAAATTTTAGTGGTTTTTACTTATATATCTATACATCGTGCGGAAAATAAGATAGTCCGAAGTGAGATTTGAATTGTCAATTTCATTTATAGAGGTGCACCAAATAACTATTGCATCATAAGAGTCTTCAGAAGAATATATCACCAATATCCCATTAACCTTGTACGGATCAGACTTGGAAGAAAGTTGAGAACAAAACTTCCTATAATCTTTGTCATCATAGAGTCTTATGATCCCCGTTTTATGGGAACTGCCATGACCAACGGTAAACATTCCATCACCATCAACCTTGTCACTCCCAATTAAACTCCTTTTCCTCTTGGAAATTGAAGTATAGAATTCCTCTATTACCTCTTCTTTTATCTACTTAGGAAATGTTAAACTCCTACCAAACCATAACTATTTGAAACACATGTTCTTGCCTTCTCATCATCGTTGTCGCTAATGAGAAGAACAATTAAAGGCACACTCTGCCAGGTACTGTGTCTTAGTTATTCTTGGTGGAAGTTCCATTGCATGTCTAATATTACCATCAACCCTGTCACGACCCGAATTTTCCACCATCGGGAGTCGTGATGGTGCCTACTGTTGGAGCTAGGCAAGCCAAACATTTAAACATTTTTGGATAACAACATAACAATAATAAAATAACGAGTCTTTAAATAAATGCGGAAGTCTTTCAAACATAGATAACTGAAAACCCAAAATGCGGAAGTCTAATATTTCACTACCCAAGACTGGAGTCGCTATCTCACGAACTACTAAAGAGTGCTACAAACAAGTCGTAATAGAAATACATAAATGTCTGTCTCGGTACAATGGAAACAAACTGAAACATAGAAAGGGACTCCGGCCTGCGAACGCCAGCTAGGCTACCTCGTAAGTCCCTGGACTGAAGTCAGCTCCCGATCGATATCTTACTGCTGTGGTCCAAAAGCTGCTCCGGTACCGTGATCTGTGCAAAAGAGCACAGAAGTGTAGCATCAGCACAACCGACCCCATGTATTGGTAAGTGCCTGGCCTAACCCCGGCGAAGTAGTGACGAGGCTAGACAGGACTACCAAATCAACCTGTGCAGTTCAAGTATATATATATGCAGTACAAGGAAAGAATACAGAAGTTTAACAGTTAAGAGGGAGGGAAACATACTATGAGGAGGTACAGTCCGGAGATAAAGTCAACAATTTAAATAAGAAACAAGGCAATAACAATAATTAATGAGAGCAGGACAATCAACAGTTGCACGGCATCAACCTTCGTGCTTTTACTCTCATTCTCACCAAAGAAATCAAATAAAGTGCACGGCATCACCCTTCGTGCTTTCACTCACGTAACTCTCATATCATGGCACGGAATGATCCTTCGTGCAAATATAACCAAAACATGGCACGGAATGACCCTTCGTGCAAATATAATCAAAACATGGCACGGAATGACCCTTCATGCAAATATAATCAAAACATGGCACGGAATGACCCTTCGTGCATTATCACTCTTCCTCACCCAAACAGTAATCGCAACCAAACGGGGCGAGGGGATAAACAAATAATAAGAACTGTCCCGGCATGAGAATTACACAATTAACAGCTAACTCCCGGCAAGGGAGCAACAACAATACTTTCACATCCCGGCAAGGGAAATAGTCAATATACTCAAACCATCCCGGCAAGGGATTAATCATACCCCTTTCTATTGCTTTCATTTCTTACTCAATAGTCTTTTTGTCGTTCGAGCCAGCGCTCTAAAGGATTTGCAATTCATAATTAGTTCTCATACTCTTCACATTGCATAAAATTCATCAATTAACATGGAGGAGTCATAACAATATCAGGATAAGTGCATACAAGGACCCACGGTCATGCTAGACACCAGTGTATAGATACTCGTCACCATGCCTATACACCGTACTCGATCATTTAGCAATTAGCAATTAATAACACTCTAATCCTATTCCTTCAAGCCAAAGTTAGATCAAACACTTACCTCGCTTTGCAACCAAATTCAAGATTCCAATAAACCTTCGCCTTGAAAATTCGTGTTCGAAGGCTTCAAATCTAGTCACAAATAATTTAATATACTCAATACAAATAGTAGAAATTAATTCCATATGAATTTACTAATTTTTCGGATTTAACTCAAAAATTGCCCGTGGGGCCCACTCCTCGGAATCATATGAAACTGACAAAATATGATAACCCATTCCGATACGAGTTCAACCATACAAAAATTATCGAATTCCGACATCGGATTGGCTTTCAAATCTTAAATTTTCGTTTTTGGAAGATCTGGTAAAAATCTGATTTTTCTTCCATAAATTCATGGATTCATGATGTAAATGAGTATGGAATCATGATCTATAAAGGATTTATGATAAATAACACTTACCTCATTCAAATTTGTGAAAACCCCTCTGAAAATCGCCCAAACCGAGCTCCCCCAACTCTATTTTTGTCAAAAATGGCCAAAACCCCGTTTTATAGCATTTTACGATTCGGGCGCCACAAGTGGAGCCGGGCGCTGGTTCCAGTACCCAAAAATAATCCCGGCGCCATGGATGGTGCCCCGTGCTACCCTGGGCGCTGGTGATTGAAAATTATTTTTTCCCGACACAAAAATGGGCATAACTCTCTCATACGATGTCCGAATTGGACGATTCTTTTTGCTATGGCTGCGAAATTTCGATACGGATCTAATGCTTCAATCAAAACTGAATTTGGAGTTCTTTTGCTTAATATGATACCACTTATTCTTGAAGAAACGACATCAAAACATTCTTGAAATGCCCAAGTTAAACTCCATCAACCATCCAAAATCCACTCAAGGCCCTCGGGACATCAACCAAATATATCAACAAGTCTTAAAACATCATATGGACTTACCTAGGGTTTCAAATCATTCCAAGAAATGTTGAAACGTCAATTCACACCTCGATTCGGACTTATGAGTTTCAAACTTTTCAATTTACAAAACTTGCGCCGAAACATATCAAATGGATCCGGAATGATTCAAATTTGGCACACAAGTCATAAATGACATAATGGAGCTATTTCAAATTTTAATCCATTTTTTCACATAAAAACGTTCTGAAAAATTATACGGACTGCACATGCAAATCGAGGTGAGAAAAAAAAAGGAGGTTTCTAGGCCTCGGAACACTGAATTTGTTTCTAAAACAAGTGATGATTTTTTGGGTCATCACATCCTTCTACAAAATCCTCCCGCAATCTAAAATTCCAATACATAAACCAAATTTTAATTCATATTCTAAAGGTTCAATTCATATCCAAAAAAAATTCAATTTATAATCTCAATTCATAAACTAAAAGTCCAATTCATATCCTAAAGGTTCAACTCATATCCACAAAAGTTCAAGTCATATCCTGAAATTTCAATTTATAAACTAAAATTCCAATACATAAACCAAAATCTCAATTCATAAACTAAAAGTCCAATTCATATCCTAAAGGTTCAACTCATATCCACAAAAGTTCAAGTCATATCCTGAAATTTCAATTTATAATCTAAAATTCCAATACATAAACCAAAATTTCAATTCATACAAGACTTAACATAAACCCTAAAAATTTAGGGTTTCTTCTCTTCAACCAATTTTCCCCCAAATTAGTAGGTAAAACTAATTATTTTAGCTACTAATAATTATTCTAGATTTAATTTAGCTAAGAACAATTAATTTTTACAAATCAAACTACAAAGAATTAAAATAAATCTGTGTATTTCGAAAAAAATAAGGAAAGAAGAGAGAAACCTACCTGGACAGTGGAGGACACAGGCGGTGGAGCTGCTGCTGCCTCCGGCGGGTGGAGGGTGGAGGGGGACGGTGGCGTCGATGGAGGGAGACGGAAGGGGATGGGAGGTTTGGGTGTGAGAGAGAGAAGAGAGAGAAAAAAATAAGAGAATATGAGGGGAAACCCGTTTTTTAGCTACTGTATTTACAGAAAGCGACCAACATTGGTCGCTATTTTTGGTAGCCAAAATGTATTGACTATTTTGACCAAAATAGCGACCAACATTGGTCGCGAAGTTCTGACCGTTTGACCAGAATAGCGACCAACATTGGTCGCTATATCTAAAAAAAATTAAATTACTTTTAATTCATATATATAAGTCATATATATAAGCCATATTCGATATAATATTACCTAATACGCTTATACTTAGTGCATAGTACAGCGTAAGTATATATATTACATATATATAAGCCATATTCGATATAATATTACCTAATACGCTTATACTTAGTGCATAGTACAACGTAACTATATATATTACATATATATAAGCCATATTCGATATAATATTACCTAATACGCTTATACTTAGTGCATAGTACAACGTAACTATATATATTACATATACATAAGCCATATTCGATATAATATTACCTAATACGCTTATACTTAGTGCATAGTACAACGTAAGTATATATATTACATATATATATATAAGCTATATTGATATAATGTTACCTAATACGCTTATACTTAGTGCATAGCATGTTAGAGTATATTTTAGTCTATTCATCCCTTGTGTTACAAAAGTGTTAACGACT